TTCAAGTCTCACCTAAATGCATTATCTTTGGTATCTTGCAGTCCAGACCTTTTGGAGTATCACTTCTCATTGCTGGTCATGATGAGAATGGTCCTAGCTTGTAAGTATTTGTCCCACGTGATTGTTGGAAAATATGGCTGTATACTATATCTTCTCTGTTTGTGTTTGATCATATCCTGTGTAGCTGCATGCTATCCTCTACCAGTTTGTTCATCTTGTTCTTTTTTTGATTGTTATCATGTTCTGAATTTTCTTTAAAATGCAAGTGAATATACAACTTTTTTTTTCTCCTGTACCTTCGATTTTGAGGAACATGGCCATGAAAATTGGGTCCGCCAGCTTAATAGCCAAATACAATTAAGCCTCCTATTTATGATCTTATATTCCATGCTTCTCAAGTTTGAAAAAATATCCGAGTTGTTCCACTGCTTCGTCTTTACAGAGTCCTATAGTCCACTTAGTTTCATGTAGTTTCTTATCTTTGTAGGGTAGATTTCAAATAGACCCTTGGCTCAAGCAAAGCGTTTTACCAAAACTGGTTCTTTGTCAAAAAAAGAACACCTCTTTTCCAAAACAAGTTTGAATAATAGAGTAGAAAAGAGCTATGATGGAAATATAGACCTCTATCACTATTTCTTAGGAGTAGATAATCGCTTAAAAGTCTCTGCCATCATACTACGAAAGATGACCAACTGCTCCTCATTCTGAAACTCGAGTTAGCTATCACCAAATCAAAAAAACCATGCAAAATCCAAGAGTGTAACTCCTATGTTGTTTCTACCAGTGCTGTGACAGGCAATCACCTAATCGCCAATAGCAAGAGGCAAGGCGAGGCGACCCTTCATCACCTTTTAGCTTTGTGGTGAGGCGATATTCAAAAGGCGATGCCATGGATACAATGGTGACAAAGGCGAGAGGCAAGAAACATGTCGCCTTTTGTATTTTCTTAAAAAACTGACCAATTTAAGGTTTAAAAGTTAGAAGGTAATTTTAGGGTTTTCTTTTGAATTTGCACAGTTGCACTCTTGGACTGCGACTCCAACAAGTCTACTCGACTAGACTTATCTGGTGACTGCCAGACTTTTCCAGGCGACTCCAATGTCCAACTAATACGTATTTCTTCTTTTCTCCTTCATTTCTTCTTCTTCAGACTTCAGAGTTACTTCTACCTCTACCTCTGTTATTTTCTCTTAGTTCTACCTCTGTTATTTTCCCACTGTTTTTGACTTTTGTTCTGTTTTTTTTCAAATTCAAGTTCTAGACTTTTAGTATGAACTACCTATTTTCAGTTTTTGAATTGAAATATTGGGTAATATGTAATGAGAATTTGATTATTTATATATGCAATTTAGTATTTTAATCTTTAGATATTAATTGGTGCCGACTTTAAAAGATGTGAGTGCCTCGCCGCTTGCCTCGCCTTGTGGCAAGGCAGACTCGTTCGCCGTTCAAAACATTGGTTTCTACCCCCAAAACCAAGATCCATGCACATCATCATAGCCCCTTGAAGTTGTCTCAGTGTGGCCATTGAAATCTCATCATGAGAATATCTCCTTGGTGTAAGGGATACCTTGTATTATCTCATCCAAATTCTCCCAAAGTGCTTTTTGACCTTATTGTTCAAGTCCATTTCTGGTGCGTAAGCACCAATTATGTTAAAAGTAAGCCCACCAACAACTAGCTTAATAACCATCATCTTGTCATGCACCCTCCTTACATCTACCTCTTGCTCCTGATGTTCCCCTATCTCTTAATGCCTATTTCATTCCTACCTCTCAAGATTCCTGAGTACCACAATTTATACCTATATACATCACTTGCCTTATTTCTCTTGTAAATCAATGAAATGATATATTGTGCTTGTCCTAGACGCTAGTGATTTCTTTGTAACATGAGTACATGACTGCTGCTTCATGGTTTGTGCATTAGTAAATTCCCATATTTTTTCTGCTGATACAAAAGTTGGTTGCCTGCTAGTTCAACCCCTTACCAACATGGAATAACTTTCTGTGGACATGTTGCGCTGCAGTTTCTACCCCAGTAATTCTTGCTATTCATAATCTGCATACAAGATTATGATCCGAGCTTCCTCTTTTTCTCTTTCTTTCCTTTTCTCATGTAACTTCCTCGACTAATTAGCTTAAGTTGATCTTAATTCTTAATTTATTTAGTGAACCTGACTGGGTTTTGAAAGGGGAAATTTTTTTCACTTTGGTGTGACGTTTCCCTCTTCTTTTCCTTGTCTCAACTTATAATGAGCTTGTGTTACTCTAGGCATGGATGTGACTTGCCTTATTTATATTTATTTCATGGGAAACACAAGACAACTGAAACCAGCAAACAATGATGATACTAAAATTCTAATGCTTGAAGTAGGTATATAATTCTCATATTCTGGTATAACCTTCTAACATGAAAATTGTAACTATTACATCAATGTTATTTCAAGATTTAAGTGGGCTATATATTGTCAATATACTTTGAAGGAAAAATAGTCATACTGATCTAAACAGCTTTGCTATTTAATATTATGGTATAACCTTCTAACATGATAATTGTAACTATTAATTTATGTTATTTCAAGAATTAAGTGGGCTACTGTATATTGTACATATACTTTGAAGGAAATATAGCCGTACTGAGCTAGTTGGCGGTGCAGCCATTAGTTGAAATCCTAATTGCTGTTATCCTTCAAATTCATCCTAGTGGCCATCTGGTACCTTGTTGCCACTAACAACAATAGGCCTTTTTATATGCAGATACTATACTGATCCTTCTGGCACTTTCTGGCAATGCAATGCAAAAGCCATTGGTTCAGGTTCAGAAGGTGCTGACAGCTCTCTTCAGGAGCAATTCAACAAGGTTATATAAGTTTGATTTTTTATTTTCTAGTTAAACTGTCATATCTTTGTACATTGTTCATTCTTCCGGGATTTGGATATTTTTATGATCTTAACCTTCGCTAATCCCAAACCTCCGTCCCCTCGGAATAAAGATAAAAAAATCACTGACAATTTACTATGACTGGAGTAGTAGATCAGCTATTTCTGGACCCCAAGTAATTGGTATAATATGGTTTTGAAAGTCGATCTGAAATGAATTATTTGCTGTTCTGCAGGACCTTACCCTCAAGGAGGCTGAAACCATAGCGCTGTCAATTCTGAAGCAAGTGATGGAAGAAAAGGTAATCTCCATGACACTGTGTCTTCATTATCATTTGTATGCTCTACTTCTGCTATTGATTGAAAATCACATGTCATTCGATTCCAGGTGACTCCCAATAATGTTGATATTGCGAGGGTATCACCAACTTATCACCTCTACTCCCCTTCTGAGGTGGAAGATGTTATCAGCCGCCTATAAGAAGAAAATGCTCTTGTTATGCTTGTACCCAATTCTCTGTTATGGGCAATGTTTGCTTTCAATTGTTCTAGAATTTGTGAATTGTTTTGCCCCTTCAAGCATGATATATTGTTAGCTTTGAGTTCCATTTTCCTTCAAGGACAAAGCTCAAACCCTTTATGTTGCTTGACAAAATTCTGTATAATGGGATAAGATTATTTGGCTACGGGCTTAAGATTGCAGTAAAATTACGTTTTAATGTTATTTTGTTTCGTAAGGACATGATGGAGTCTTAGTTTGAAACATGTTTGTGGTAGATAAAATGTTTCATACGTTGGATTTTTTCTTTTTACATTTTGAAGCATTTAATTTTTTCCACAAATGTTGGATCAATTTCTTGAAAGTGCATTTGGATCCAGCTTTTATCCAACAAAACAATAATTTCACTAAATTGGTGTGCCTCTTTTGTGAGGGACTACCAAAGTACCAGTATACATGATTTTATCCCTACCTACTTGTATGAGTGTTTATGTTAGTGTTTGAGCTGGGTTTTATTTTAAGATAATTCGCATCATTTGCTAAATGTAATAATAAACAAAATATAATGGATTGGTTCTTCGATTTCAACCTTTTGGGTTCTTTTATCGTTACATGAAATACAAATTTATTTCATCAATCATCATTCAAATATATAAGAGTTGCATGTAAATTTACCCATAAGAGTTGCATGTAAACATACCCTGGAATATATATATATACACATATATATTTTATTAAGAAGCCATTTGGATAAGTAGTATCAAGTTGAAGAGGTTTATCAAGCGACATAATGGAAGTTTGAGAGAGGGTAATGAAATGAGTAAAAGGAAGAGTGTATCTATCACCGGGAAGGTTTCTATAGAGATGTTTGGAGGCTAAATATGTACGACTAGTTTACAATTAGAACGTAAGGATATGCACAATGGAGTCAAGACACGAGTGATGATGATAGTTGGAGAAGAAGACTCAAGCACTTTCTAGTCATGATGGGGCAGGGATAAACTCTTTACCTGTTTCTAGTTACCTTGGTGATAGATAAACTGATACGGCATATCTAAGAAGAGGTACGCATAAATAGTTTTGGTTGACGAGACTTGCAACGAAAGACCAAAGGTTTGGAAACATACCCTGTAATCTAAAGGGTTCAAGTTGAGCAAAATTAAAACATAACGCAACTCAGGTGGTACATGTGGAAGTAAAGATTGATGCACTAGCCATCTCTAAGAAAAATAGTTTCAAGTATTTGTGGTCAATAATCCAAGAAAATGGAGAGATTGACGACATACCTACAACTTACCGATGATTGATCCTAGATAGGAAGATTTGAGTAGAGAATTAGGGTAGAATATACGTAGGCAGTCAGACGTTGTATAGTTCCCTTATTATTTATCACCCGTTATGCTTATTATTACTCTCCAACTATCTAAATCTTGATTTTAATACAACTCGTTGTGTCCTGTGCTGTAGTTAGCGTATTTTGTTCATTGCTACTTGTTCTGTTCTTAATTGCTTTGGTATAGCTTCGCTATTGTATTTGTTTTACAAGATTTTTGATATTCTTTGCTAAAGCCAAGGGTCTGTTGAAATTCGCCTCTCTATTCACTCGCGAAGCTAACAGAGAATCAAATAGTCACATATCATAGACTGCCACTGAGATTATTTATGTGCCACCTTGGCATCAATATGTTGTTCAGTTTTCAATGGAACAACATACAATTTTTTTGGTTTGAAATTCTTGGTAGACACTAGATGTGCAAAAAACAACATAGTGAATTATGATGTCACATTGTACTAGTTTCTACACATGAGCAATCAGTTGAAAGAAAGAACAAGTGATCTCCATCTCTAATGACATCTATCTCATCTATTTCTACATCTTCTGCATTTACAACTTTCTTCAGATTGTACTCCCCAAATCTTTGACCTGCAATTAAACAAAGTTATCAAATTTAAGTGGGATTTCAAATTTTATAGGCGTAAAATTTGACCTATAAGTTTATATGACACATGTCGACATGAAGAGATTGTTAGTATGATATAGATGGATTATATTAAGAGAATAATTAGTTATTACTATTGTTGATAGTGAATCTTTTGTAAAATTATGTGTATTTGGAAGTCTGTAATAGCACGTAATTGCAAATATTTATTTGTTAAAAAACGTGGAGATATGAGATTTAGGATATTCTGGTACCTTGTTATGAGTTATGATTTGCTCGTTTAGTAAGATCGTATAAGAGTTTGGAATTTTTAATAGTTTTCACAAAACTCACCTGCCATTCTGAATAGCTCTTCTAGTGTATCGGGTAATATTATTAGCTTCCCATTCTGCTCTTGCAATGAGTTGATGTTGTTTCTCATGTGAATAGTAACTCTCTTCTTGATAGATTTTCCCCCCTTTGCACCAGTTTGACTTCTATTACCTGAATTAGAACAGAAGGGGACCTCATGGATACTTTTGTTTCCTACACGTCCTGTGTCAAGTTGATCTTCTTCCCACCTTCTTTCTGGTAGACTCGGAGCCATTTCAATATGCCCCTTGGGAACTACAGAATGATCAAGAACTGTCTGGCGTTTATGTCCGCAACTTTCACCTTCATTTTCAACTTGTCTCTTGGTTCTAGCTTCTAAAGTTTGGATATTTATACTAATCAGGTCGCTAGGGTTGGTTGGCGTATCTTGCTTAGAAACATGAGAACTTGGATCACTTTCCTCGTCCATGTTATCAAAGCCTCCAAATCCTTGCAGGTTCTATTTATCAAAAAGAAGAAGGTTCAAAGAAAGTTAAGTGTATATTACGACTTTTCTCATTATAGTTGTGTATCGCGCAATTTGTGATCATATCCTTGTATACATACCTGAACAAGATTTCTCATTATAATCCGTTCATCTTCTTGATTGTCGCGAAGAATGTTCAGAAATGTTTTCCTACTCAGACATAAAATTTGAGAAATTTCAGTTGTTCTAACAGCATATGGTTGTGGCCTTCCAAGTAAAACACCTATTTCTCCAAATGATTCTCCAGCAACAGCCTTCCCAATGATCTGTTTGTGAACAGATTTCAGAAAATATAAGTTAAGGCTAATGTGTTTGAAAATGATATAATGATCGTTGAATGTCTTATACTTACTTGTTCACGTCCATCGATATCTACTAGAAGATCCTGCAATAGTATGCATAACTGATTAATAACACGAACAACAAATTCGATGTGTTCAAGTAATGGTTCCCAACATATTAACTTACCAATGCTCCTGAGACTACTATGTAAAAATCTGTTTGAGACTCATTCTGTAAAATCACATCTTCCTTGGGAGGGTAGTATTCAGCTTCCATTTCAGGAACCTTGAAAGAAGGAAATAAACCATTGAACATACGCTGTACACGTCAAGTGAAAAGGGGATCATAGCAATGTAGAACAAGAAATTACCAGTTGGAAAAGCAGGTCCCTGGAAACGCCTCGGAACAGACTGACATTTTGAACTACTGGTAAAAACAGGTAATGTGCAATGCTTGATCTTATAGCTTTTGGCAGAACATTCATGGTCTCTTTTTGTTGCAATGATTCAGTTTTGAACTTAAGACATATATGAGACAAAACCTGATCTTGTATCCTTGGTGACAACTGATTCCTTTTAGCAAATTCTTGAGCTGCTTCTACATTATCCCTCTGACACAACAAAAATCATGAAGTTCAATATCTCTTACACGATCAGTACGTTTATAAATATGTTTAAGAGAGACGGAGAAAAGAGAGTATACGAAGTTTCTTGTGTAGCCGGTCCAGTGAACTACAAGATTTGTCATATTACCAATGATGTAAGATGTCAATCCCAAGTTGAACAACATGTAAAATATGTCAAAGAGCATTTCTCTTGTGTTCTCAGCGTGTAAATCTCCATAACCAGTTGTTGTTAGTGTCACAATAGACCAATATAATGAAGTTATATATCTATCCCACAGGCTATCTTCTTTGAAATTGGGATTTGCTGCACCAATCCATGTTCTTTTAGTATCAGGATATCTATCTGCAATCACATAGTTAAAACATCCAGCACAATGCACAGCAAACAAAGTTACCTGAAAAAATCAAACAAACAAACAAAAAGAAATGCATTTTCTTAGTGACGAAACACCAAAATTATCGATATATCATCTTAAATGAATCGTGACTTACAGATATCAGTTTTGCATATCGTGTCCAGAAATAGTTAAAACGGATGTCCTTCTCAAGCCTGAATTAGGAAAATACTATAACTTATATATATTGACAGTGTAAATAATTTTTACAATATTGATGTAAAATATGTAATGTGCTTGGGAACCTTGCAAACAGGGCACTGACTCTTCTAAGACGCCAAAGTCTGAGCATACTGAGCAACTTAAATCCAACGCCGCCCTCTTTGTGATCAATAAAAAGGAAATCATGAAATGGTACAGTGGAACAAACATCAAATATGAACCAGGTTGATAAGTACCTGTTAATTAATCATGTAGAAAATTTCATATGTTAGAAATATAAATCTTGGTTCTTCTATAACTTTGAGATAGAGAAGAAAAAGAGAGAGAATCTTTTAATGTTACATAATTTTACCTTATTGCTATCTTTTTAGGATCATCAACAAGAATATAAGATTCTTTATCAAGATAAGCCATGAAGAAGTTAAGGAAAATGTCAATAGCAAAGAAGCAGTTGACAATGTTGTCAAAGATGACCAAGGCATCTATTTTGTATATCAGAAATGCAAACTCGAAAGGTGTAATCCACGCCGTGTAGATGACAAGTAATAGTAGAAACATCTCCCAAGCCCTACAAAAGATGGACAAAATAGTCAGAGTTGAGAGACGGATTCAAGATTTAATTTCAACAAGTACTTAGTATTTGTTGAACTTCTAGTGATATGAGACGGAGTTAAAAGGTCTATTAAATTATTACCTGTAACGAAGATCCAAAGGGGAAATGATATATTTTCGAAGCTTTGTTTCATGGTTGGTTTTGGTTCCAAGAGAAGGAAGGAGATCACTAGAGAAGAAACCAGAGAATTTGGCATAAGAAAATGACATTGATGTTCTTTTTGTTGGTGGGGTTTTGAAATTTTGAAGTTTCTTGGATGCTATAGTACTAGAGTTTAGTTTAAAAGAAACTACTCTATATATTGATGGTAAAGTCCCTTTTGAAGAGCCTTATATATAGATGATGAAAGTGAAGTTGTTGACTATATTGCAAGTTTAGTCAGCCTCATCTTTTCTTGGAAGAATGATTCTTTTGATATGCTTTGAAACTTGTGGAAAGTGATTATGTAACTTATGTATAGGTATTAACATAAAGGAAAAGGGAAAAAAAAGAATTGTAAATTGTAGTATTTGAAGCTAAAATACTAGTTAGGAGACTTAGGAGTGAAAGCGGATTTGCAGCAACCACGACTCGTGTTAGTGATCGTGAAAAATCTTCTCTGTCGACAACCTAGTGGGGAATACATATTAATTTGTTGAGTAGTTTTTGAACAAAAAAAGTAACAAGATTGTTATTGGGTGAAGATGGTTCTCAAAATGGCAGACATGCCACTAACTTAATGTAGTTTGTAGAGAAGAGTTTCTTAGACAAGGAAGAATAGAGGAGGGAAAGGAAAGGAAATGGTGATGTAAATGACTAAATGGCTGTAGTGGTGGGAGTTCCACCATCAAGAAAGTTGTGTGGGGGGTTAGAAATGAAACAATTATAAAGCATATTTCAAAAGGACAAGTTTGAGTGACAAGATAGGTGAAATCTAGAATTGGATTCACACAAATTTCATGCATGGCCAAGATGAAATCTAATGAGCAAATCTAGCAATATTAGCAAGATTTTAAGTCATACTCCCTCTCCCCCTCTCAAAACTAATGTGGGATACTTTTATTTTTAGTCAGTTTAAAAAGCATGTCATATTTTAAATTCTCCTTTTAACTTAATAAAATACTCATTGCGTTCACAATTGTTTGTCATGATAAGGTCACACACTCTCCTCAAGGAAAATTTAACACAAGGTGTAATTTGACGAATATAACCCTACTAACGCAAGAATACCAAAAGTTTACATAACTTTTCAGTCGAACAAAATGGAATAATTGGAAAAAAATAACTAATTATTTCTTGATTGTTTAAATTGACAATTAATCATGGACATCTATTTTTAGTATATCTGACAAACATTTGTGGACGGAGGGAGTAACTTACAACCATCACAAATTTCAAGAGAGTCTGTATTTCTCTTAAATTTTGTGTCAAGTTAATTGGGATGAATTATGGAGTAAACGTTATCAATGTATAGCTTAAATTGAACTCCTTCTATTTTATTTGTGTAATTAAGAAGAGGATAAGATTAGGGGTGTGCAAAAATCAAACCGACCAATAAATCGAATCGAATTTTTTTTATTGAATTATTGGGTTTTTAATGGGTTTATAATAAAAGTTATTGGGTTATTGATTCGATATTAGTTTTTACTATTTAGTTATTGGATTATTGGGTAAACCGATAACCCAATAAGACGATAATAATTTACAACTTTACTCTTCCTAAATATTAGATATTAATAATTTAATATATAACTAGACATTATAACTATAACAAATTATTAGTATTCTACCTACTTCACACTAGGTTCTCGTAAATGTAACTATTTGATTTTAATTTTACTTTTAGTCTTGTTGGACTATTTGATTTTATTTTTAGTTTGTAATTGTAGGTTATAACTTTTGCAAGTTTGTAAAAGTCTGTAATTTGATTAGCATAAGAAATTCCTTTTTATGTTTTGGCGATCATGACATGCAATTATAACTTTTGAACTATATTTTTTCTTATTGATGCAATTTCTCATTATCTTTCTTGTTTCATTATATCAAAGCATTTAGAGAAGTGAGAAGTCATATAATATTTTATGGACATTTTCTTATTGGGTAAATCAAAAACTAAATCGATAACGGCCAAAAATTGATTAACTGAAAATCAATAAAAATATCTTATTGATTTGTTACTGGGTTAACATATATAAAATAAAAAATCGATAAACCGAATCGACCGATGCATACCCCTAGATAAGATAGACCTTTTAATTTTGCGGTCTTAAGAAAAAGATGTATGTAGTACAAAAATATCATTTAAATCTTGTGATCTTGAACATGTCATTTAAATCTTGAGATCTTGAACATGTCACACAAAGTATTGAAATTAAAAATTATACTCTCTTCATTTTAAAGTAAGTGAACGGTTGAACCTTTTTTTTCCATAGTTCAAAATAAGTGAATTATTCAAAGTTCAGAAAGTTAAAGGAAGTTAATTCCTTCCATTTTTGCCCCTCATTTACATTTCCTAGGTGATAATTTCAAGAGATTTAATTGTTCATATTTATAATTTACTTTGAATTATTTATATTTTCAAGAATACTTTGAGAATAAGTAAGAAGGCAAAAGTGGAAACTAATGTTCAATTTATGTCCTAAACTTTTTCAAGGTAAATTAGTCTGGTAGACCCTTATATTTGTATGGGTTTGTATTGTGAACTCTTCTACTTATTCATCTGTCAACTAAACCCTTGAACTCAATAAAACACAATTTAATAAACCCATCTGACCATTGACCAGACATTCAAATGTCTGAGTTGACAAAAGTGTGTAACCACGCGCCTATTAAGGTGAGTGAGGAGCATTTTTACTCAAGAAAATATTAAAATTATATAAGAAAATTATTTTTTATTTTTCTAAACCATTAATTAAAAATATCCTTCTTCTTCACCCATTCTCCTTTCTTCATCAAGCATTACACATCCGATACCATTCAACCATATTCATCCTCTGCCTAACCCTTTTTTTCTTTTTTTTTTAAAACTTTATTTATTTAAATTATCTTGGGCACCTCCTTTAGTCAACTAATTCGCCAACGGAGGGAGAGAGTGGCGTTGGCGGTGCGGTTGCTGGACACCGATGTTATGCGGTGGAGTGAGAGAGAGGAGCGGCTGGTTAGCGGTGAGGCTGCGAGGATCTAATCATGGCGACAAAAAATGATGATGGCGTGCGGCGAAGATAAGGCGCAAATGGTGATGTTGTTCGGCTAGATCTAATGTGATGGCTTAGATTGTTGGTTTTGTGAGGTTGGAGAAGGAAAGAAAAATGATCGCGATGTGTGACAGAAATGAACGTAGGTTAGGAAGGAATATGAGTTGTTTCGTCAGCAACAATGGCGACGTCAATGACGGTTTGGGCTGGAAGGGGAGAAATTGTTATGAGTTTTACTTTAAATGCAGCCTACTTTAAATAATATAATTAATATTTTTTTATCTTTCCTTTTATTAAATAATTTTGATTAACAATTTTTAAAATACTTATGAAATGACATTGGTATATCTGATGTGTATATGACATGAAACTGATATATTTGATATGTATATGACATGTCATTTATGTAAAGAAGAGTGAGCTACACACATGGTTGGAGGGGTTTGAAAGACTTATTTTGATTGAGTTCAAGGGTCCAGTTGACAAATGATTATGTAGAAGAGTTCACAAACAAACGCATACGAGTATAAGGGTCCACCAGACCATTTTTTTTAATGTGTATATTGTCTCAACATTCACTTGTATTTAGAAAATGAGGAAATACTAAATATAGAAAATGACATTATTTTTTAGGAAAGTGCTAAATGGTCAGAAAATTTGGCCAAAATTTATCCAGATAATTAAAAAACTATAATGATTTTTTTAATTTTAAAATAAAGAGGAAAAACCCTGAAATATATCCGAACTTTGAAAAGGACCTTTTACCGCTTGCACTATTTAATTATGTATTTTAAACGTATATATGTGTCCACGTGAAGATCATAAATATTGCATCATTATAAATAATAATATGTCCACGTTTGCACATATATATATCTAGAATACACTATAAATAGTGCAGGATAAAAGGTCCTCCATAAAATTTGGTATCATAACAACAATTTTGGCTAAAATTGAAATATTTTTCAGACTTTTTTTTTTCTAAAATAAACTAACCTTTTTCCATTTTTAGTTAAAAGGTACTCCCTCCGTTGATATTATTTGTAATTTTTAGAGTCAAACTATATGAACTTTGACTAACATTTTAAGATATATTTTTTCATCATATTTATATGCAAAAAATTATATAGTACTTTTCATATAATTTTTTAGTGCCTAAATTTTTTGTTGAAAATATTGAGTAAATGTAATCTAATTTCACGTTAAAAATTAGTCAAATCAACTTTCGAAAAGCGGAACATGACAAATAAAAGTGGATAGGAGGAATAGTAAAATTAAAAGGGTAATATATTTTAAAAGGTATAATAACATAGATAAAATATCATTAGGGCCAAATTATTTTCAAATTTTCTGGCCAAATAGATTATTTCTATTTTTTTAAACAAATATTAAAAAATAGTCCATATAAGCTAAAACCTATCAAGTGAGTGATAACAAATTTCTTAGAGTTTTAATTGTAAAGCTTATGGATTCTAGCAAGAATCCATAGCGAAAGCTTAGCTGAAGCTCAAGAACACGTAGGAGGAATACAATTTAGTTAGGAGAGAAAGAGCTACTGCATTAAGCCACAATATCACACAATACATGAGTTATATACAACTACTTACCAACAAACTTGTAACTAACTTATAACAAACTTGTAACTAACTCTTCCTAACTATAATCTAGTGTGTAATCTTCACCATAATCTACTATATACTTCAATACATGTTCAATGTACATCAATGCAATTACTTAACTCTTTTACACCCTCCCTCAAGCTAGGAGCTATGAAGATGTTCTTCATTCCTAGCTTGGATTCAAGATGTATATGAGAATCTCGTCCAAGTGCCTTAGTGAATATGTCTGCAGGCTGTTCAGATGACTTCAAATATGTTGTGACAACCAATCTTTCTTGTATCTTTTCTCTCACGAAATGGCAGTCTATATCTATGTGTTTTGTTCTCTCATGGAACACTGGATTAGCTGCTATTTGAATTGCAGAAGTGCTGTTTGAATGTAATGGCACAAG